TACATAACTCTTAACTTTGGACAACTGCAGTTTACCTCTAGAATGGTTTCCTGTTTTGTCCCTCTCCTCTCCAATGGCCATCAGTCCATGCAGTAGTCATGGGCTGTTCCTCAGGGAGATTCTATAGACAGCTTTGAGCTCCAGGTCAGCACTTCAGAGGGCCTTGTATGGCAAGCTGGCCCTGTGCCAACTAGCAAGTGGGGTGGATGGTGAATGCAGCTGTGCTGCCTGTGGTACAGATAGACAGCTAATTCTGATCCTACCCGAGCCGGAGCTACAGGGACAACGTCCTCCTGAGGTGGCGTCACTGCCTACAGCCCAGCCCGGAAGAGGGCCAGGCTCTGGGTCCTTTTCTACCTTTGTGTCTAAGGTAGGAAAATCTGGGCATAGATGAGAAGCAGGGGCAGTTATCAGAGAGTACATAAATGAATACATGGGCCATATAACAATGAAACGCTGTATACATGAAGACCCAGAGAGATGCACAGAGCAAGAGAAAGCATTGTCTCTTGGGTCAGTCACCCTAGATGCCTGAGTGGCCTTCCCCTGGGCAAGTTTCAAATACGATGGTGAGGGACTAGGTGAGTTGCCAGTGACCATTGGGTTTCTAGTGATGCTGGTGTCTTCCGAGTAGCATTGTTTTCAACTGTAAGGACTCTGTGTGTGCTGTTTCGGCTTCGTCACAGTGGCTGGGCTTTGAACTGCTAGCTGCCTGACCACTCAGGCCATAGCTTGGGGGGAATTCTGTTCCCCCAGACAGTGGCTCTGTTGCTCGCTAAGGTAGCTTTAATTAAATCTCTACCGTGGGGTGAAAACCTGCGAGCTCAGAGTTAGAGTAGCAGCTGGCTAACTCTCTCCTTGCTGGCATCCTCGGAAACTTCTCTCCTTCCACACCACCCCAAGTAAAAATCCCACACTAAGCTCCTCCCAGCCTACTTCCTGTCAACTAGTTGCTAATCCCACCTCTCTGGGCTCAGATTAATTTTATTTAATTAACGCAAAGGCAATACATCTTTACGTAGTTAAACAAATGCAGCATAAACAAATGTAACACATTTTTGCCTAGTTAAACAAATATTGCACAACATGTGCCTAAAGACAAAGAGATGGACTGTGATGTGATTTATAGCAAGAAGCATTGAGCCAGGCGGGGTGACACACACCTGTAATCCCAATACCCTGGAGGCTGAGGCAAGAGAATCATGAATTCAAGGCCAGCCTTGGCTACATAGAAAGTCAAGGCCAGCCTGAATTATACAAGACCCTGCCTCAAAAACAATAAATAAATTTAGAAGACATATATGTGTATATATAGTGATTTGAATAGGAATAGCCCCATAGACTCATGTGTTTGAATGCTTGGCCCATAGGGAGTGGCACTATTAGGAGGTGTGGCCTTGTGGAGGAAGTGTGTCACCGGGGTAAGGGAGTAGGCTTTGAAGTCTCATGTGCTCAAGCTTTACCCAGTGTGGCACACAGTCTCCTGCCTGTGGATCCAGATGTAGAACTCTCAGCTCCTTCTCCAGCACCATGTCTGCCTGTACGCTGCCATGCTTCCTGTCATGATGATAGTGGACTAGACCTCTGAAACTGTAAGCCAGCCCCAATTAAATGTTTCCTTTTATAAGAGTCTTAGATCAGGTTTCTGTTGCTGTGAAGAGACACCACGATCACAGCACCTTAAAAAAAAAGTTGAGCCTAGGCTGGGCAGTGATAGCACATGTCTTTAATGCCAGCACTGGGGAGGCAGAGGCAGGCGGATCTCTGAGTCTGAGGCCAGCCTGATCTATAGAGTGAGTTCCAGGACAGCCAGGGCTACACAGAGAGACCCTGTCTTGAAAACAAAGAAACAAACAAAAAACAACAACAGGAAGGAAGGAAGGAAGGAAGGAAGGAAGGAAGGAAGGAAGGAAGGAAGGAAGGAAGGAAGAAAGGAACAAATCATGAGTAGTTTGCTTACAACTTGGGTTCCTAGGGTGGTAGGCTTTCTTCTCTGAAAGCTGCTGCAGCCTTCCGGTTCAGAGCAGTGAGCTGGGTAAGCTCTGCACACTGTGAGGTCCACCCCAGGGAATGGTGGGGCTCAGCAGCTCGCTATCACTGCTGCTGATACATATGGCAACCAGTCTTAGGGCGCTTGGCATGGCCACCCCTCTTCTGAGTCTGGTTTTCATTGCTACGGATCCCTTAGGTAGGACTGTTGTTTCTCCTTTGAAGAGTCGGTCCCAGGCAGTGTGTGTTCATGGTCAGTCTGAATTGTGGATGATCCTGGTGACATCTCAGAAAGCCACCTCTGCCCATTCTTCCCACTGTTCCTTTAGAGATGGACAGTTCTCCAAGAGAGGGTTGCCCTTCATGCCTCGCTCAGCCACCATGTCTACATGTCAGGGGCCCAGCAGCTCCTCGCAGTTCTGATGGACACTGCAAACCCAAATGCAGGACTTTGGCTTTGCCACAGCTTGGTGGTGCTCTCCCTGGCGACCAGAGCCAGTCTTCCACCTGAGGAGGAGGAGCTCCACAGCCTGCCTTTCTTAGGAAGAAGCCCTTCCACTGGACCCTGGGGCTCTCTCCTTGCCTGAGTGAACTCCCTCCCTCGTCGTCGTCGTCGTCGTCGTCGTCGTCATTGTCGTTGTCACTGTTGACTCTGCCCAGAACACCTGTGCCTTGGGCAGCCACTCACTCCTTCCTACTGTCTCCCCAGCCCTCACTGTTTCCATTCTGCCCTTCCCAACCATAGGATGGGCTATTCTTTGCTCTTTCTCTGCCCTGGGAGCGGGTCACTAGCCCCACCGTCATCCCCACTGCTTGCTGCCTCTGTCTCGTTGGTCCCACAGGTACGCAGGTCTCCCACTAGCTTCCACCCCTGCATTCCTGAGTACAGCTCCTCCCCGCAAGCAGGCTTCTGCCCTTCATTGCTCCTGGCTCAGGGCTCCTGCATGCTCTCTCTCTCTCTCTCTCTCTGTCTCTGTCTGTCTGTCTCTGTCTGTCTGTCTCCCTCCCTCCCCCCTCTCTCTCCCTATTCTAGGATCTCCTCCTCTCTATTCTCCTCGCTTTTGGGGTGACTGTCTGCCCCCCCTCACCTTCCCGCTCTCCTCTGGTCAGCTCCCTCCTTGAGATTTCTTCTTCTTCCCTGGCCTGGGTCTTAGTGCTGAGGCCTTGCCTGGGGTCGGCTGGTTCTCGGCCCCAGCTGTCTTCCTAGTCCTTCCCTTCGGCTCTTGTCCCTCTCCTTAGCCTTCACTTGTCCTGACAGAGCCCCCCTTCTTCTCACTGCTCCCCTCCGAACCAGCTTTGCCGCCAGGTCCGTCTGCTCTTCTTCGCTGATGCTTTCAACTGCCTTATTGATCTTATTTTTTTTTTTTTTTTTTTTTTTTTTTTTTTTGATTTTTATTTATTTATTATGTATACAGCATGTATGTCTGCAGGCCAGGAAAGGGCACCAGATCTCATTACAGATGGTTGTGAGCCACCATGTGGTTGCTGGGAATTGAACTCAGGACCTCTGGGAGAGCAGTCAGTGCTCTTAACCTCTGAACCATCTCTCCAGCCCTCTTTTTGGTTTTTTGACACAGGGTTTCCTCTGTGTAGCTCTAGCTGTCCTAGAACTCACTCTGTATATCAGGCTGGCCTGGAACTCAAGAGATCCACCTGTTAGGCAGAAACAGGCATCTCAAGTGCTGAGATTAAAGGCATGCACCACCACACCCAGCTCTTTTTATTTATTATTATTATTATTATTATTATTAATTAGTTTGGTTATTTGAGACAGGATTTCTCTGTGTAGCCCTGGCTGTCCTAGAACTTGCTATGTAGATCAGGCTAGCCTCAAACTCACAGAGATCCATCTGCTTCTGTCCCTAGAGTGCTGGGTTTAAAGGTGTGTGCTGTCACACCTGGGTGCAACTCTTCCTGAAGTTTGCCTTGAGCTTTCTTCCATTTTTAGCCATCCTCTGGTTTGCTGGGGTTGCAGGCAGTCTGCACCAGAGGCTGCAATTCCAGACTCAGACTGAATTGAAGTGACACTTTTTCCCCAACATATTTTTATTAATTTTGGGGAGGTTTTGTATAAATGCATCTCAATCGAACTCGCTTCCCAGTCCTCTCAGGTCCACCTCCCACCCTTGCACGCACACACACACCCCAAAACTCACCAAGTCCAATTTGTGTTGCCCATACACTCACTGGACCTTGGTCAAACTCCCAGTGGCCAACCCCTTAAAGAAAACTGGGGCCGAGTGGTGGTGATGGCACACGCCTTTAATCCCAGCACTCAGGAGGCAGAGCCAGGCACATCTCTGTGAGTTTGAGGCCAGCCTGGGCTACAGGACAAGCACTGAAGCTACACAGAGAAACCCTGTCTCGGAAAAAAAAAAAAAAGAAAAAGGAAAGGAAACTGAGCACCCTTCCCCCCACTGCCATAGCCATTAACTGTGAAGAGCTACACTTCAGCGTCTTTATCACATTTATTTTTGGATTTTTATTTGTTTTTATTTTATGTGCATTGTTGTTGTGCCTGTATGTCTGTCTGTGTGAGGGTGTCAAATCCCCTGGAACTGGGGTTACAGGTGGTTGTGAGCTGCCATGTGGATGCGGGGGATTGAACCTGGAGTCCTCTGGAAGACTAGTCAGTGCTCTTAACCACTGAGTTATCTCTCCAGCCCCTTTATCACAGTGTTTAAGGACTCTCTTTAACAGCTTCCTGTCTGGACTGTTTCTTTTTTTTGGGGGGGGGGGGTGGAGGGTTGTCACAGAAGCTCTCCAGTGTCTCTCATCCTCAGTTATGAGTCTTCAGTTATTGCCACCACTGTAAAAGAAGTTTCCTTGCTCTTATCAGCCAGTGGCAGCATGGATCATGGATTTCAGCATGGTTTCCTGGCTTCCTGCGGCAGCTCAGATCACGGACATCAACCTGGTCCGTTGTGTTGTATGCCTCCCC